TTGTTCCAAAATGTAATTCTTGCAAATTTGCTTATTTTTTCTCCTATTTTGTTCCTGCTTTTTCATTAAATTGCTACTTTATATCTTTTTGTAAATTTGCTTGTTTGTTGTCGTAAAAATGCCAATTTAAACTCAGCAATTTAAATGCCATTCATCTTTGAATGGCCCTAATACGCCATCAGATTCTCATAAAGTAAAATCTAATTATTTAGTACCTGTTTGTTATGAAATATAGTTAGTAATAAAAAATCAGAGAAAGTTTGAGGCTCTTCCTGTCAAACTGCTGAAGTTTATTCTGATGCTGAACAATCAGACCTGATCAGGGACAGAAACACCCAGAAAGCTTTTATCTTTATTTAGTCTGTCTTCTAATTCTCCATCAGCCATATTTCCATGTTTTAATATATCAGCAGGATGATGCTCCTTTTGCTAATGATCCCTCCTCCACCTCTCCTCCACCTCTCCTCCATCTCTCCTTTGTTCCTCCTCAATCCCACCTTCATCCCTCCTCCATCTCTCCTTTGTTCCTCCTTCATCCCTCCTCCCTCTCTCCTCCATCTCTCCTCCATCTCTCCTTTGTTCCTCCTTCATCCCTCCTCCCTCTCTCCTCCATCCCTCCTTCATCTCTCCTTTGTTCCTCCTTCATCCCTCCTCCCTCTCTCCTCCATCCCTCCTTCATCCCTCTTTCATCCCTCCTCCATCCCTCCTTTGTTCCTCCTCCATCCCTCCTCCATTTCTCCTCCATCCCTCCTCCATCTCCCCTCAATCCCTCCTTTATCCCTCCTCCATCTCTCCTCCATCCCTCCTTTATCCCTCCTCCATCTCTCCTTTATCCCTTCTCCATCTCTCCATCCACAGACAGTGGCGAGAAGGAAGCGGCGGTCCCGGTCCAACCCGTCCTCCAGCAGTGGTGCTGAGCTCAGGTGATACCAGAGCTGGAGCGTTTGTTGTCATGGCGACGTGTTTGATGGACATAATCAGACTTCCTGTTTCCTGCAGACGAAGCGGTCGTCCTGACTGCGGCGGTCAGAAGGTGAAGCCGTCATCAGCTGAGAGGGGCGTCCACAGGAATTGCACCCCCCCAGGCCGCGCCCCGCCACCCTGCAGCCCCAACCAGACGGACAGCGACACGGACCTGTCCGAGTCTGAGAGACCCCACCCCTCCCCCTGTCGCTGTCCGCCCCCCCAACTGCAGCTCAGGCCTGAGGTCATGGAGGAGGACCAGCCTGCCCTCCAGCGCCAGAGGGTGAGAGGGCGGCGCCGGGGGGGGCCGGACTTTCCAGACTTCCTGCCTCCACCTTTCAACTCCTGGAGCCTTGGCCAGCTGGCCGTCTTCTACAACATGGAGGGCCGGGGAGCCCTGGGGCCCCGACCTGTGGGACCTTTGGAGAGGTACCTGGAGAGACTGCTGCATCTAGAGTGGTACCAGATCCAGACGGTTCAGGCGGAGCGGGAGGTGGGCGGAGTCACAGCGGCCTGTCAGAGGGCCGGGGCCCCGTCCCGCCTCAGCTCCCCTAAATGCATCCTCCACTGCCCGCGGGCCCTCCCCTTCCTGTGCGGTTCCGTTTGCGCTCTGTGCCCGGCGCCGGATCGCAGCAGGGGGCTGGCACCACTTCCTAAACGGAGCTACAGCGAGAGCCGAGTCCGCTCCGGCAGCCCCAGCAGGACCAGCAGCTACTTACGGAGGATGCAGGCCTCAGGAAACATGCGCCATCCCATGGGGATGGCTGCCAGGGCCGGGTCGGACCCCACGGCAGGGGGCCCCCGGCAGAAGACAGACGGAGGCGAGACGGAACAGAGCCGGACCAAGGCTGAACGAACAGGAAGTCAAACCGGACACCGTCGCTGCCATCATAGATAATTTGCCCCACCGCCTAGAGCTGTCCAAACAGCAGGCGGGAAGAGCCCCTCCCTGCCCAACCAGAGCTATCACTGCCAATCTATTTACAGAGTTCTACGTTTATAATCCGATTGAGCTGCTGACCAGCGCTGCTCAGACCCTCAGAACTTTACCTCATCACTCCTGAATGTAGCTCATTCCATTAAATGAATGCCATTCCCACAGCATGATGCTGCCACCACCGTGCTTCACCAGGAGAAGGGACCCACTGTGCCGCTCGGTACTTCTGCGATGGGAGGTCCATCATGCTGTGGGTCCAGGTGGACGTCCAGGTCCTGGTAGGTCTGCAGAGGCTCCATTGTGTGAGAAGATAACGCGGCGTTGAACCGAAGCCCGCCCGTCTGCTGGTGAGGCGGGAATCTTCTGTCCAACTAAAAGACACTTTTATTGAGCTGAAATGTTTTTTTTGTTTTTTTTTATTTTGTAAAAAGACAACTTCTGATTTAAAAACGATTAAAGTGTATCTATCTTTTTTAATGAGTCGTCATTTTTAGTGTTGCACTGATGCCATTTTTTGGCTCCGATACCTGGCTGTGCATTATCTATCGATACCATCTGTTTGAAATTGATCTGTGTGTCTGTATATATGACGAACGATAAATAATTTCCATCATGGCTTCAAGCTGTTGCCTACCTTTGAGAATCAGGAAAAAGAAATAATACAAAGACAATCCAGTTTTTATTTCCTACCTGGAATGGGTGACAATAGTTAAACTTTTGGCTCTTAAAATGTTATCGGTTCGCGATTTATTGCTACTCGCTGATACCGATGCCACCATTTCAGTGCTGGATCGGCGCCCCGCCCGATACTGGTGGCCCAACACCAGTCATTTTATTTCATTTCTACTGAATGTTTGAAAATAAAAACCAAGTTGTAGCAGAAGGAGGAGATTTGTGTCTTTGGGTGTTTATATCTGTGAAATATAGTGTAAAAAAGGTCAGAATGAAATCCAAACATCACAGGTAGTTATGTTGCTGCTCTGTTTTTCATTTTATGGCAATAATTCCAATACAATAAACCAAGGCTGTAATCAGGAGACGTTCCTTCCTTCTCTGTCAGTTCTTAGCCACTGAGGGGCCAAACAGGAACATGTTCAGGAAATTCTTCTTTCTATTGAGACACATTCTTATCGAGCGCCGTTTGTACAGTTAGGCAGTCAAACATTGGGAGCAATATTTATGGTTATTTAGCGAATTTTAAGAGAAAAATAAGGGGTTGATTTTTCCAAGACATTTTTGAGAGACAGAAAGCTCAACTAGTGGCGGTGGCTCGTCAGCAAATGGCACGACGTATTACTGGCCGCAGCCACTAGATTATTTTTTTCATGTAGTTTTTAATTACATTTTTTGGTATTTAATATTTTTTTTGTATTTTTCTTGCCGTTTTTCGGCATTTATAGTACTTCTTACTAGATTTTTTTTTATATTGTGATGTTATTGCTTAGTAAACTACATGGAAACTTTTATAATGTCACATTTACTTGATGGAACGGAGAAGTTTATTTGCCACTAAGTGGCCTCGGCCGGCAGCGGGCACCATCGGCCACTCCGGGGGCAGGGTCGTGACTCCCAGGTTTACTGACACCGTTTTGGTGGCTGCAGAAGCCGGTTTTCGTTAAATAACTTATTTTCTTTTTTTAGTTCTTCTTGCCGTTTTTTGGCAAATACCTTATTTATTCATTTTTTTTGTATTTATTTTTCTTTTTCTTGCCGAAAAACGGCAAGAAAAATACCCAAAAAAATAATTAAATACCAAAAAAAGTAATTAAAAAAACGACATGAAAAAATAATCTAGTGGCTGTGGCCAGTAATACGCCGTGCCATTTGCTGACGAGCCACTGGAACTGCTGCAATGCAGCCACTGCCACGAATTGAGCTCGGCCCTGCTGTCATTTTTTCAGTGACAAATTGCTGACAAATAAAAAGAAATTTTGCTGATTTTTAGCTAGCACAAAGCTAGCTAAATATTTAGTTAAATAAATATTCAGCTTGAAGCTCAACAAACTAAATTTAACTATCTAAATAAAGTTTGAACTAAATAAAATTTGTTTAGCTAAATATCTACATACAGTTTGAAAATAAATGAATGAGTGAAAAAAATCACTTAAAATAAATCTAAATATTGTTGCTAATTTTGACTGCTTAGCTTTCCAGACGGCAGCCCATAGATTGATCAGATTGAACTCAGCTTTTAAAGGTAACCTATAAGCATCTGTTCAACACGGCTTTCCTTATTCCCACATTTCTATATTAAACTTTTAATGGTCTGATCTTAAATGTCCCATTTATCATCACTTTGATTGATCTATTTCCTGCTTCTCAAATTAATCGTTTCCATATATAATATTGGTCGCTCAGACTCCACCAGTAAACTGCCCTATGATGCACTGATATAAAAGGTGCTGAAATCAATGGCACACCACACTTTTCAGATTTTCATTAGTAATTTTTTAGAAAATAAATCATCAATTTCCCTCCGGTCTACGACATAAATTCAAAACAAAACAGAGAACTGTGTTGAAAACTTTCCAAAATCTGATTTTATTATTTTAAAATGTTTCCAGCAGCTCTTAGAGTGATAGAAATTAAGCATTGATTTAATTATCATCAGGTTTAACGAGGTGGTTGGTTGGTCAGACTAAGAGTATATTTTAAATATAGCAACCTTTAGACAGGCTTTAATACGGAACAGGATTAGGGCCACTGAAAATAAAAAAAGTAAACTGATTTTTAAATTTTATTTCAGTTTAACATGGGAAAAAAGTCAGAATTCTGACTTTTTTCTCAGAATTCTGACTTTTCTTCTCAGAATTCTGACTTTAATCTCAGAATTCAGAGAAAAATGTCAGAATTCTGACTTTTCCCCATACTATACTGAAATAAAAGGAAAAAAATCAGTTAACTTTTTTTTTTCTTCCAGTGGCCCTTATCCTCTTCCGTACCTCTGATTCTTAGTTTGTTTTATTTTTTTCTACTGTAAGAAAGCTAAACTTCATGATCGAAAAGATGTGGCGGGTCCATTACCACCATGGTCCGGTAGATGGCGGTAATGAGCCTCCACGCCCGTCTCACCGGAACGTTCCTCTCTGCTGTTTTATTTTCCGGCCGGACGTGTTTTGGTGAAACACCAGCATCATGGAGCCAGCCGCCTCTCAGCGTGTTTTGCAGTATTTAACAGAAGTGGAAGAAGCTGCAGAGGATGTTCTCACCACTAAACAACAGGTAACAGAACACTCCGCTTTGTTTTAGAAAAATATAAATATGTATAATATACCGGCGGATGTCTGGGGTACAGTAATTGGCCTACATGTTATGAATGATGGCGAACCATAAATGATCAATTATGAACAGTTTAGTTTGTGCCTTCAAGTCGTTTCTCATAGGAAGATTTTATGTTACTTGTAAAAAGAAAATGGCGTTCCCCTTTAAGTGGGATACACCACGCTTAAAAATCTGCAAAACCCCCGAAGGTCAGAGACTCTCCCACCACAGTCTCCTAAAATCCTGTGGGAAACACTGATACCATGTGTATGTGTATGTGTGTGTGTGTGTGTGTGTATGTATATATATATATATATATATATATATATATATATATATACACACACACACACACAGATTTACATTTGTTCAGTGCTGCACTTTAAGTAATGGAAATGAAAGCTAAGCAAAACAAAATGTCAACAATAAAAGTTGTCTAAGCCAACAGGATAGACTGAATGGTAATGGGGAGCTTTACTTCCTGTCTGAGACGCTCAGCTTCTATGTTGATGTTTCAGATCATAGACCTGGATCTGAAGAGGAACCAGAACCGGGAGGCGCTGAGCGCTCTGAAACACGAGGTGTCCGATTCAGGTGAGTCTTCTTCATGGCAGAGCGCCGTTCTCCAGGTTCAGACACGCTCCTGGCTCATCTATGCTGAGGAACGGTCCACAGTCTGATGTTTGTCGTTTGCAGAAAAGGTCAAGGTCTGCTTCGGAAATATGTTCATCAAATTCCCCAAATCCAAAACCAGAGAGATGATCCAGAGAGGTGAGCTTTTCCACACAATAACGATCCAAATTTCAGGGGAAAGGAAATCTAAACGTTGTTTTTCTCATCTGTAGATCAGGAGCAGCTGGACAAGGAGATCAGTGACCTACGCAAAGCGCTGAAAGCAAAGGTCAACAGCCTCAACGAGATGCAAGGTATGAGAAACTGAGCCGTCGTTTGGATGCGAGTCGCCGCTCCTTAGGGGGAAACGCCTACTCAGAGCGTTTAGCGTTTGACAGCATCGCTCCATAGCCGGACTTCCACCCACAGATGAAAATAAATCCCAAGTCATTATTTTAGACTAGACAGATGATGCAGAGGTGTTTTATCTACATTTTTATAAACTTGTATTATGAACAAAATCCTGAATTATTTTCTATATTGATTATATTTATTTTCCCTTCCTATTGACAATAAGTCAAAAACCCACATCAGATGCAGTAACCCATTGGAGACCTGAAGAGGGCGCCACAAATGCAATAATTTTGACAAACGTGCAATAAATTGTCCAAAAAAAAAAGCCTGAGAAACAAGGAGTTCCAATCCAGCGGCTGCGTCCTGCGAAGATTCGTCTTCCGATGACATCATAGCACGGCGCCGAGGTCTGCTCGGATTCCAAGACTCCTCCTTATGCGGCTGAAAAATGCGTCCTTATTTTCTCCCATGATTCATTGCGGGACCAAGCAAGCCAGCTGCTCCGTGCTCAGAGGAAAAAGGGAAATGGCGTCGAAGTCTGAGAATAGTTCTGTCTGAAATGATTGAAAGTTGTTTTAAAGTCGTAGGGAAGTTATATTTAAATGTCAAATCATTCTGGCTTAAACATGTATATTAATGTACCCTATCAGATCATATTGTCCAAAAATAGAGAAAATTTATATTTAAAAAAAAAATCCTGTCTTAAAATCCGTTTTTTTCCGTTATCTTCTGCAGGCCAGTTAGTTCTACGTCAGCCTGAACACCTAAATTCGGCCAATCATATATCAACGGTCATCTGTCAATCTAATGTTTTCGGTCATAGCATCTTGATTCATGTGTCGCAGCTAATATACGCAACGGTTGAAACCAGAATCCTTTCCTTTCCCATTGAGTTGCGTCCCAGTGTTCACGGGGATGGACGTCTGTGTCTTCGGCAGGCGTAGAGCTAACAGAACTGGCAGCGTTGCGAGGCAAGGGCTCAAACATGAACCTGCTAGCACTAAGTTGCTAACTGGTTAGCCAGATGCTCTTAGAAACCAGCTACAACCAAACTTGCTTGCAAACCTTCCGTCACAACAATCCCGCCCACGAATCACATTCACTTTATTCACTGGCGTAAAGTCGCGCAGCGCTCGGGAGATTTGGGAAATGCAACGTTTGGAACTTCCCTCCGACTTTAATGGTTACTGAGTCAGATATGTGGCGGAAATGTTTGGTTTATTAAGAGGTTTATCTGTCCCTGTAAAAATGGGTTTGCCTGATATTTAAGGTCAGATTCCAACATCTCTGCAGGATGGGGGACTATCAATCTGATATCTGAGACCACGGTACTGCTGCTGAAGCTCCTCAGAAACGTTATCAGCATCCAGAGCAGCAGTGAGAAGTTCAGGGTCCATTCTTAGACCAGATGACATTTCGCCGCCTACAGCTTATAACAGTGAAATGAACATTTAAAGTGCAGCAGTGATCAGAATGTAGGAGAGTCATGGTGCAAAAGGCATTGATATGGAAAGGTTCAGTTCCCGCCTTTTGTGTCAACTGTTGCTAGGCAACAGAGCGTACAGGCGGTAAAAGCCGGAGAAGGCTGGACCTGTTTGAATTTTCACAGACCTCGAAGGATCCAGTCCAGGTAGAGCGGGTCCTTAAAGGACACAGCCTCTGGAATCAAACGCAGCCAGAGAGCAGGATCCCATATTAGAGCTAATCAGCAAACTAAGGTTGTTTTAGGGGGAGTCGCCCTTTAAGTGAATAAAAGATCAGCAGAACAACCACTGGTTTATTGGCTGCTGCTGACAATGTTTAGCTTTTAACAAAACATGAAGGAGTGTGAAGGTGGAGTTAGACATTTAATGAAGACCTTTCAGCTCATTTTATTCTGCATTTTCTCTTTTTAAAATGTATCTTTAATTAGTTGTTTTCTGATTCTTTATGGCAAACAGGTTTTAATGAAGTAAATTTGTCAGAAAGCATGTTCACATCTCCATGACAACCAAGACGGTTTGTCTCAAGAAAAAAACGTCGTTTTGCCTCCAAGTATTCAAACCCTAGGAGAAGCTCAGCTGGTGAGCTTTTCCCCCGTTGTGGCGCCCCCTGCAGATCAACGAGGGGCTAAAATGTTTGAAGGAATCGGTCGTTTTCCTGGTTTTAGGTTATTTGCTGGTTTCTCCCTATTGAATAACCGTGTTTTCTTCTGTCTGCTTCCAGGAAACCCTGAGCTGCGAGGCTACAGCCTGTCCCCACTGTCTGCCCAAGAGCTTAAAGCCATCAACAGCCTCCTGAAGAGATGACCTGCAGACTCCAGTCCGCCACGTTATTGGGAAATATCCAACCTCTCAGATGAGGATGAGGGGAAAAGATAAACTTTGTCCAGAAGGTGGCAGTACAGAGCAAGTGGAGGTGTCCTCCACTCAGTCATGCATGTACAACCAGAGCTCCTGATGTCCTAGAGGGAGAGGCTGACTCCTCACGCCTCCTCAGCCCAGCTGGGGTCCCATCCTCCACCCGGTCTGGACAGCAGCACCCAACAGACCCTCAATTGGGATTCAATGGAAGCCAGCGAATGTCTCCATGATTGAATAAAAACCTGGATCTGGTGATGGAGTCGATTCATCTGTCAGATCTTCTGGATTATTTTCACTGTTTGCTGATCTGAACCTGGAATAAGATTAAAAACACGTTGTTGTCTAAATGACTAAATGTACGTCAATAAACAGGATTAAACGGGAGATTTGTTCCTTCTTGTCAATTTAAACATTCAGCAGCTTCCAAAAGTATTCATGCCCCTTAAACGTTTCCAAACATGAACGATTCAATGTTTGATTTATTTATAGATATTCTTTAACAGGGCAAAATGGCAGCGTTCCTCCAGATCCAGCCTCTACATGCAGATTACATGGGAATCCTTCGCTCCGCGTTCGGCTGAACATACCTTTCCGCTCCATACCAGAGGGGGGCAGTAATGCTCCTCTCTGTGTGCGGATCGATGTTACCGACTCGTTGTAGCTCCTCCTCCCATGGATCCACAGCGGAGCTCCATCCAGGAGTTTCAGGCTGAATCCAGCTTTACAGACGTCACTAAAATGATGCTAATCAGATTAGGATTAGAGTGTTTGGTGGTAGAACTATTGGATGGTTAATGAGGCATCTATCTAGAAGCCAAACTGTAGTGATGCTGCGTTGATTCTGTCTCACAGAATACTGACACCTGCTGGACATTTAAAGACACTACAGGCAGCTGATTGGACTAAACTGGAATGATTTGATGACCTATCTCAGGGGTCGGTAACCCAAACTGCTCAAAGAGCCATATTGGAACAAAAAACAAAAAAATAAACCTGTCTGGAGCCGCAAAAATGTAACAATCTTCTATAAGCCTCGCTTATATAAGACTTTTCCTTCATTGCAGCCAAACTAGCAGCAGCAGTGGAGTTTGGAGATAAAATCTGCTTCTTAAATCTATCTTTTCTCTCCTCTAATTGATCCAGAAGTTCTGCAATCACTCTTTTTCTCTCCCCCCCAGCTTGGTGGTGGGCTGCAGATTTAGCCTTCTCTGGAAAAGTCTTTCCTAATGACTCTTTATTTTTGGCCAACCTCTCCTTCCAAAGCAAACATGGAGGCAATCCTTCCTCTATGATAATGAAAGCAAATGATTCGCTCCTTTCTTCTTTGAATCCTCTTTCCTCATCAGCCATCTTCTTTTTTCCCCATTGGGATCCATAGTTAGAGACTCACCTGCAGCTGTGTTAGCCTGGCAGCGCGCTGCAATGGTTGCAAGTAATGACCACTGATCTCTATGGCTATGAGGCTGATTATTGTTTACATTTATTTATTATACAAATGTTTACAGCATTGGAAAACATCATTCATTTTTGTTTGACCTAAAAAAATAGATTTTCATAAATCTCTGAAAAAGCTCCAGCGAGCCGCAAGGGGGCGCTAAAGAGCAGCATGCGGCTCCGGAGTCGCCGGTTGCCGACCCCTGACCTGATACAATGATATCATTCAAGTTACTGTAGGTTATATTGTATTATTTCGCATCTATGTTTAAAAATAAAAAATATATATATATTTCATAACTTGAAAATTTAGGGGAAAATGAATGAGGATGTCTGTAGACTACAGTAAAAATATCAATTAAACTAAGAGTCAATTTGAAATGAACTTTAATTCAGAAACGTTGCGTAGTAACTGAGAGGAAAACACAATAATAAAATTAAAATAATCTTCCTATTCATTTTAGGCTGCTCCTAAATTATGGATCATTTTAATGAAAAACCGCAAAAGACGAAACTTTTTTTTAGCAGATGCATCATGTTGACAGATCCGTTTTTTAAACCCAGTTTAGTGAGTCAGTCAGTCAGGAACAACTCCTGGATCGGTCACATGACTTTCTGGAAACGACACGCGCACCGATGCAGTGATTAGCTCTATGGGCTCCACGCATCGCTGTTAATGGACCCATCACTGATTTAAGCTCTGTGCTCAGCATGTGTCACACAGAGAACATGTGTCACTACCCCATGTGTGTTGACCTTTGACCCTACCAACAGTCCTTCATAGTGGCCACATTATTGGGAAACATCCAACCTGTCAGACGAGGCTGAGGGGAAAAGATAAACTTTGTCCAGAAGGTGGCAGTACAGAGCAAGTGGAGGTGTCCTCCACTCAGTCATGCATGTACAAAATGTTTAGACGTTTTATTTTGAAATAAAACCTTTAATCCAACCTAAGTTTGGCTGCTTTGACAGAATGAAGGAAGTTAAACAGTTTATTTCCTCCAGTCAGACTGAATTAGACCTGCTCTGTTCCCAGTTTCTCTGACTTGTTGACACAAACACCCTGAGGCGGTGGCACCGGGGGCCGGTGGGACAGGTGCAGGGCCTGTGTCATGGCGTTGCGTGCCGCCGTTCTAAGAACTGCTGTGATGAGTTCATGAGTCAAACCATGGGAACCTGTGGATTGGCTCGAAAGTCAGACACTGATGACTTATCCTGCAAGCATCTTGTTTACTTCTGAATAGCTGAAGGGACTAAATAACCCTGGTAAAAAAAGTACAGACTGATCCATGGGCCCGATCCGGACCCGGTCCACCCCATAATCTCTGCAGCTGCAGCATTTCTAGTATCACACTCTATGTGTGTGTGTGTGTGTGTGTGCACATCCGTCCTTACCTCCCAGTGGCCTGATCTGACAGACAGAACATCCGAGTCAGAGGATCCAGGTTTTATGACACCCAGAGAGAAGCTGCATCACCTCATTAGCCGTGACCTTGATGTTTAGATGCTGCATCTGCTTATTTTGTGTCCCAAATAAAAACTGGCCTCATTCTGTGACTAACGTAGCAACTTTCTGATGATTGAGGATATTTTGGTTTAATCACAGGTGGGAATCTTTTAAACGTCTCATCAGTCAATGACAATGGCGTAACGCCACAACGGTAGGCCCGTGAGCAACATTATCTGTTCGGGCCCCATATGAAGTACAACGCACCCCCACCGAAATGTGCCCCATACATACACACTCCATCATTTCATCATTCTTCACCTTCACTAGACATGGATATACTTTATCCCCCACGTTCTCTCCATTCTTCTCCTGGTCTCAACCTTTACTCACTGCAGCAGCAACATCCTCCTCTCCCTCTTTGGTTCTTCCAAAGAACGTGTTTATTTTGGGATTTTTTTTCTGCTCTTCCAGCAGCTCTTCTTTCCTTTTTCTTTTCTGGAATCCGCTTAAGTTCCTCTTTTTGGTATCCATCGTCGCTAACACATTGTGCGTAACGGTTATGGTTTAAATCTACGCTCTGGATTACCCATAATTCCAAGTCGCGTTGTAAAAAATAAAATACTCAAATACATTGTTCTTTTAAAGTCTTTATTGCAGTTTGAAACATTTTATATGACTGAACATACTAATTAAAAGAGTGTGAGCACTAAACTGGCTTGTACTGTACTTTTTTGTTTTAACTTCTCTTGTTTTTTTGTTTTTCTTGTGTTTTTATGCATTTGTGTGTCATTATTAACCTCCCTCCCCCTCAATGCTAACACCTTTTAAAAGCCTAACCAGGGACGAAGGCTGCAAATTAGCCCATGGCTACAAGCCTTATGTACTTGGACATCGGCCACCTGTTTGGTTGCAATGTTTAATTGTATTGTCCCTGTCAAATAAAGAAATAAATAAATAAAAAATAAAATAAAAAGTACCACTGTCTGCTTTGCTATTGGTGTCGTGTTTAAACGGCTCAACATCATGCCATGTGTTGCAGTATAAATACAGTCTGGTCTATCGGTTTAGTATCAGGTGGGTTGAAGAGGAATTCTTTGCACCATTACATCTGCAAAGAGACGTCCCAGTCTACAATTGAGTAGGGGGCCACCAGATGTCAGTGATGGGGCCCCCAAGAGGTTGGGGGCCGTAAGCAACTGCAGTCTCTGCTTACCGATAGTTACGCGGTTGATCCTTGATGTCAACACTGATGGATCATCAGATTAGAAGTCCATTTTAAAAACAGTCAACCAGACTAACTTAATCCATGAGATTGGGTTTTAATATTATCAATGGTTAAATTACAAATATGAAAGTCTAAACATAAAAGAAAAGACAAAGCATTGTTTTTTTATTTTTTGGAAGGCGCCACCATGTTGCAGAACTCCAGGCTGTGATGTACCAGGGTTAATGGATGCTTTGGCTAGCAGCTATAGTTAGTGGATAAACCGGCTCTGGTTAGGAAACTCCTCTAGATCCTCTGGAGACAATTTCATGAAGAATTCTGCTTTATGGGCATGCAGGTGGCAGTCGTTAGCACGCATGACCCATGTACGGAGGCCGACCCGTACAGGTTGAATCCGGCCTGTGGTGCTCCCCCTCTCTCATACCACCTTTCCAGTCAGCCTACTGTCAGAAATACCATCCACTAGTACTGTAAAATAAAAAAAAGAATGATTTATATAGTGAGGAATATTATAGGGAATAGTGAGCATCCTCTTCATTGTTTTCAGTCAGAGGCTGATCCAGATTCAATGCAACACAGACCTCTACAGATCCTTCCTGCCTACAGCATCAGCACCTATAAAAAGGCCTGAAATGATAAGTGGTTAATTGGGACACTTCAGTGACAGAATACTGCGTATTATTTTATTGTTCTCTTAAAAACTCCACACATTTCCCCTTCCAGCTGTGCAGATATAAATCAGAGGGATCTTGAATCTGTAGCTGGATCATTTGAAATGCAAAAACCTTTTAGGGAAGCAAACAGTGACTTTTCCTTCTTAGGAGTTGGCAGCACTGAGCAGCCATATTGCATCCAGATGAGGATCATGGTGCCAAAGCTGCCCAGTGCTGCAGGAGGCCGTGTACGGTACGGTGTCTGTGAAGGGACAGGAGTGTAATGACTTCTCTGCAGTCATACTGGTGTTTAAACTGGGATGAAAGGCGATCCTGGAGCTTCCTGCCACAGCCAGCCGAACATCTGAGTTATCGGCATGACAACACACCATCCACACACTAACAGGAAGTTAAGCTTTTCCCCATTCAATGGAGTAACGACAACAACCAGCAAGATGGCCTGATGTGGATGATCTTGGTAACCATGGTAACCCCGCTGGTCAGTCAGCGGTGGGAAAAATACCTCACATTCATTCTCATTCATTATTACTAACAATTTATGT